CGCCGGTCTTCACTGTCCTCCTCCAAGTCCGTCGATCGAGTGCGAGTTCCCCCCAGTTGGTCGGGTTGATTTGCAGGCATTTCAGGGAGGACTTCAGGGTATCCTTGTAACGGCGAATCTGGCCTCCTTGACGGCGAGAACCAGTCGCGACGTCTCCGTAGAAGAGTCGTTTGGGTAGTCGCTCGTCGTCCATGCGCACAAGGTGGCCGCTCCAGCGCAGCTGAATTTGCCTCAGTATGGCGCAGATGCTGAGGATTCCCGTCCGTTCCGGCACATCAGTGTCGGGGATTCGATCCTGCCACTTTATCCTCAGGATTCGACGAAGACAACTGAGGTGGAAGTGGTTCAGACGGCGTGCCTGCTTTGCGTACACCGTCCAAGTCTCCGCTCCATACAGTAGTGTCGGCAGGATGACGGCCTTGTACATCTTCAGCTTCGTGCTCAGCTGAAGACCGTGGCGATTCTAAACTGTGCTTTGGAGGCGACCGAAGGCTTGACTGGCTTTCGAGATCCTGTTGGCGACTTCGTCGTCGATCCTGGTGTTGCGGGAGAGAGTACTGCCCAGGTACGGGAAGTTCTCCACCACCTGCAGTTGGGTTCCGTTCACGCTGATTTGCGGCGGCGCGTTGGGGGCTGTGGCTGAGTTGGGTGGCGGTTGGTGCATCACCACCGTCTTCTGCGTGTTAATGACCAGACCGAAGTTCTCGCAGGCGGCGGAGAACAGGTCCATGCTCCGTTGCATCTCCTCTTCCGAGGTGGTGTTTAGGGCGCAGTCGTCGGCGAAGAGGAGTTCGTGAACGGTGGTTGTGAATACGCGCGATTGGAAGTGCATACGCCGTTGATTCAGCAGGTGACCGTCCGTCCTGTAGGCGATGCGGATGCCGGGGCGTTCGTCGCGGTAGGCATCCATCAGCATGGCAGAGAACATAAGACTGAAGAGGGTAGGCGCCAGTACGCAGCCCTGCTTCACTCCATTGGTCACTGCGAATGCCTCTGAGACAGCTCCGTTGTCCGTGACTCGCGCCATCATACCGTCGTGCAGCTGACGCACCATCTGAGTGAATCGCTCCGGACAGCCGAATTTCTGCATGATCTTCCACAGTCCTTCACAATTCACCGTGTCGAAGGCTTTCGTCAGGTCCACGAAGGTAGAGTACAGGTGGGTCCGCATCTCCTGACACTTCTCCTGAAGTTGACGGGCGGCGAAGATCATATCCGTGGTCCCACGATGACGACGGAAGCCGCATTGGCTTTCCGGCAGAAGGCCCTGTTCCAGATGGTTATTGAGGCGGTTGAAAAGGATGCGGGCGAAGATCTTCCCAGCGATGTTCAGCAGGGATATGCCTCGGTGATTGTCGCAGACTTGGCGATTCCCTTTGCGCTTGTAGAGATGCACGATGGTTGCGTCTTTGAAATCTTGCGGGACTTCACCTTGACGCCACATCTCTTGGAAGAGCGCAGTCAGGTGATCCATCAGTTGGGGACCTCCGTGCTTGTAGACCTCAGCAGGGATTGCGTCCGATCCGGGTGCTTTCCCGCTGGAGAGCTGCTGCACGGTCCTGATGGTCTCCTGGAGAGATGGCGGGAGGTCGAGGTCCACGTTGGTCTCCACTTGCGGCAAACGCTCGATGGCGGCGTCGGAGATGACGGAGGGGCGGTTGAGGACGCCTCGGAAATGCTCGGCCCATCGCTGCAGGATTTGCGTCTTCTCAGTCAGGAGAGTGTTGCCGTCGGCGCTGAGGAGAGGAGAAGTGCCCTTCGTCGGCAGACCGTAGACAGCTTTGATCGCAGAGAAGAAGTTCTTCCATTCGTTGCGGTCCGCGTAGCCTTGGATCTCCTCAGCTTTGCGAGCAGTCCAGGCGTCCTGCATCTCGCGCAGTCGTTGCTGAAGTTGGCGGCGACTGCGGTAGAAGGCAGCTTTGGTGGCATCAGTGGGGTGATCTACGTAGGCTTTGTGTAGGCGGTTCTTCTCAGCTAGCAGATTTCTGATGGCGGTGTCGTTGTCGTCGAACCAGTCCTGGTGTTGGCGGGGAGCGCGACCGAGGACGGCGAGCGCCGTCGACTGGACCGTGTCTCGCAGTTGACACCAGCGGTTCTCCACGGAGGCGTTCTCGGCAGCGGCGGCATCGGCGATGGGGAGGTTGTCTAGCCGTTGAGCTAGCTCATTGCTGAAATGAAGATGATGAGCGGGCAAAGACAACAAAGCAACATTCAGCTTACCTTGGGGTCTCCTGCGAGGCTGCAGGCGAATACGCATCTTCGAGATGACGAGGCGATGGTCGGTCCACCCGTTAGCTCCCGCGATCGCCTTCGTCACCAGCACGTCCCGCTGGTCACGCCTTCGGACGAGGATATAGTCCAGCAGGTGCCACTGGCGCGACCGAGGATGCCTCCAGGTGGCCTTCTCTCGCTCCAGCAGACAGAAGAACGTGTTCGTCAGGATGAGGCGGTGTTCTGCGCAGGTGCGGAGTTGCAGCAGACCATTGTCGTTTGAGCCACGGAGACCGTGGGGACCCAGCACTCCTCTCCAGGCAGTATGGTCTGTGCCGACGCGGGCGTTGAAGTCACCAAGGACAATCAACTTGTCCGCCTTCGACACAGTCGCCAAGAGGGCGTGCAGGTCCTCGTAGAATTTGGCCCTGACGGCGTCGGGGTTTGATAGATAGATAGATAATTTTTATTAAAGACCCGTCGGGGTCCCATCAAAGCAAGTTAAAATAAAGTTGCATGCGAGTTTTAGACGGGTTGGTCATGGTCGGAGCGTAGGCGCTGATGATGGTGGCGAATTTGCCTCCCCAGAGAGGCAGGCGGAGGCTCATCAGGCGATCGTTGATGCCCTGCGGCAAACAGGGCAGTCGTCCCACGATGTCGTTCCGAATGGCGAAGGCGACACCCGCGTCCCGTCGCTCTGCCCTGGGTCGACCGCTCCAGAAGAAGGTGTAGCCGGCATCCACCTCCTCCAGTTGGCCTTGTTCGGAAGAACGGGTCTCGCTGAGTGCGGCGATGTCCACCTTGTAGCGCGCCAGTTCTCGTGCCATTAGCGCCGTCCTCCGTTCCGGTCGGTTGCTCCTCGAATTGTCTAAAAGGGAACAAACATTCCAGGCTGCCAGAGTGAGCGGGCTCACCCTGCCAGTCTGGTGACAACGAGTGGGCGACGGGAAGGAGATGGAGAAGAAGGTGACGAAGGAGAAGAATAGGCAGAAAAATAGGCAGAGGAAGAGGAAGAAGAGGTAGGATGAGGAGAATGAGTATGGTTGTTGTTGTTGTTGTTATTGGTATTGTTGTTGTTTCGATTTTGATTGTTTCGACCATGATTAGACGTCTGCGGCCCTGGCTAGCCTGGAGACGGCGTGGTACCCAGCAATGCTTAGGCCACCTTTTCTAGGCCCTTCCCCTCGTGGGGGCTGGCAGTGCTATCCCTGAATAGGGCTGCCATGTGCCGTTGTGGCACGGCCAAACTCCACTATGGGACCACGACTTCGGGTTGTAGTGGAGAGCGACTCGAATTCGCCGTAAGCCGCAGTCTCTGACGGCGTAGGTGGGCTCGTCAAGGCGATGTCGATGTGGAGATCCATCCCGTCACCGGCCGTCCAGCGGCGTGCAGAGACGAACCACGTCACGACGGTGCCGACGCAAGGTTCCGTCCAGCGGAATCCGCAAACCCTGTGCACACGGCACAGCGCACAGGGCCCCCTCACCTGGTTTAGCCCGCCGGTCGAGACGGTGGCCCGGGGTGTGGCCGCTGAGCAGAGTCCAGCTACGTGGAGCCACATGTGAGAGTTGAGTGCCAGCAAGTGGACGCTAGGCGCAGTCTCACCTGCAAGCAAGTGAGCGACCACCACGACCATTGCGTGAACTCACCGCTGACACCCCTGACAGATTATGGGTATACAGCATCGGTTAAACACAGTAATAATACATTTGCCATTTAGGTCATAAGGGAAGGTTTGGTCCTTCAGCCGCACGTGAAGAAAATTACACTGGTGACCTACTGCACTATTTCGAGTTTATGTTGAAATTGTATACTTTTAAAATGAACTACTGAGACATGTGCTAAATGCATTTACTAGGTACGTCAAAGACACAGTTCAGAATGAATGCACTTGCATCACCTTCCGGTTCTGCTTGCTTCACTTTATTTCCTAATCCAGCCAGAGGGTCAACGGTTAAGTTCACAGCAAGTGCTCAATGCACTTGCACCCCCACTCGCTCTACTTGCCCTCCTTTTCTGATGCAGCGAGTGGCTAGGCCAGGTACGTTAAAAGCATGATATGAAGGTCGTTGACGTTCTCGAGAAAATCCCACTATTGCAGTATATACAGTAGGTAAATTCAATGACGTGCACGTACGCGGCCTTGCTTATGGGTTGGAATTGCGTTCGGTATTGCCTTTGCATTTCAACGTGTTGGCTTTCCGCCTGTAATTTGCCCGTGTTTTCGTTATCATTATTACAGAGCAACTTACCTGTCCGATTCCTGTGGGGTTCCTAGGCCAGTCTGTGGAATTTCATTAATTGGGTACGCTCCTGCTAATTGTCTTAGGAAGGTTCGCCAGATCTCCGACAGGTTGTCAGCATTCACACCAAACCATTGCCTTTATTTGGCTTCGTCTCCGTGGTTCCAAGTTGTCCTTCCCGCAATTGGGTCTTTACTCCGCAGTTTACGCTTAAGTCTACTCCAGTAGGTCTCTATCGTATTGGTTTTTCTTCCACTGACCAGTTCGATAAAATTGGTTGAATGGTTTACTGTCAGATGCTGATAACATATTTCGGATAGGCGCGCGTAGGTTTGCCACTGAACGGTGACAATCATGCTGTGTGGAGCAACCCGCTTTTTATGACTGCCCTCGGAGCAAGCCGACTGCGGTCATTTACCTGTTCAAACAGTGTCTTGCTTCGCGCTCTATTATACATCCCCACAATCCAGCACAGTTTCTTCATACGACCAACGCAGTACTTCCGAAGGCTAAACATCGTCTCATCTACCTGCATCTTCACACCCGGTCATCCAAGTTGCTTTACTTCTTTCAACGACGCTTTAGAGCACACATCCCGCCAAATGCCGTACCGCGGTTTACGCCGACGAAAGTTGCACATTTATGATCCCCATGCCCTCAAGAAAAGCGAGGCATGTTTTTATTATATTTGCTAATGACAGCCGGCTTTTTGCCAAGCATCAAACCAGTCCTTAATGTTTTATTTGCTCAACGCCGGCCGCATCCACAGTACGTACATTTGGTTATTAAGGCCTACCTGAATACATAACCATCCGTATGCTGCCGCAGCACCTGCCGTGTCATTGGTTTTCGGCATCGGCATATCAGTCTCGAGGTCAGCAGTTCATTCTCCTGTCAATTTTGCACCAGATACGGCGACTTAATGATCTTCTGCATCTCTTTGAACTTCAGCGACCTGTCCACTTTCGGTCCCGTTCTTCGACGTGCCTTGCTTGGCTGCGTCCTACAAATGACTTATTCCAGTAACTAATTCATCATGGACACTTACTAAGTGCTGAGGATAACGGCGTAATAGCACACACCCGATTTAGTGGTTGGTACCGGCAGAGCGTTTAACAATAATAATAATAATAATGTTTTATTCAAGACCCGTGAGGGTCCGGTCATAGCAAGTAAGAATAAATTTTTACATGAATTTTAAAACAGGTAGGCAAAATCTATACAATAGAGAGTGAGGAAGTCGCTTTATTTTGAAATCATAAGTTCAAATTTTCGTCAAATATTGGCTCCATTCACTATGGGCAGTAAGTAAGTTTATAGATTATTTGAGAGTCAAAGCTTAACACAAAAGGAACGATTATTATCAGGACAGTTCAAGTCTTAGCTTCTGTAATTCTGTCTCTTTGCACGTAAGATAGCGCGCCAGGAATGACAATACAGAAGCTAATAAAGTCGATGTGCGACAAGACATAAGTCGGAAGCTGCGGCGCATCGGGCGGGAAGACTTTGCATAAATAAGTTCGGAGTGCCAGAGATGGGCAACGTCATCTATGATCCGATCAGCAAATTGCTTGACCGTATTGACATTTCGTTGTAGGTTAGTTTCGACTAAAAAAGATAAGAAACACCAGCGAAGAATGATAGAATAGAATAGGTTTATTGTAGCGCCCCTTGGGCACTGTCAGTCCCCTTTGAACTCAGGAAAAAAAACCCAAAACAAACTCATCAATTTCAACTGCACTTTGACTTCATTTGTTTCGGGTGTCTGGTTAGCCAAAAGAGCGCGAATTGAGAGTTTGTTTTAAGTTAAAAAACCTCAGTTCTAAGGGAAAATAATAACAAAACTTTTAAAACATAACGATATGTACAATATAAAAATTGAAGTTTGCAGTTTGGTAGTTTTCGGGGGCATGAATAATATGCCCTTCATGGTAATTGAAGAACGTTGATATCGGCCTGAGCTTGAAATTATTTTCCTGTTGGGTAAATTTCGGTGTGCTCTAGTTGCTGGTTGTCAGTCTATCTGGCCAGCTGTAAGGGGGCGGTCGCACAGTTCTTACGTGTTTTTCAGGAGGCTTACCATCGTTGTCTGGACTAAGAGCTGCAAAAGATGACTATACATCAGGAGTAAGAAGCATTCAATGGTAAGTCACAATCAAAACTGTCAAAATACTATTGAATTATGTATCATATTGTTCTTGTTAATGTGAAATTATAGGAGCAGTGAAAAAACTCCTAACAGGTCAACAAGATGAATATGACCGGATTAACATTATAGGAGAGAAAACTGTCCCTCATGAAAGGACAAAAAACGGGCAGGACCGGCCTGCATGTGGCAGTGTATAACGGATTTCTTGAAGGGGTACGTATGCGGCGCCGACAGGACTGGCTTGCTTGAGGTATTGAGTAAAAGGTCCAAAACGGACATTACCAAGGCAGAATCCATATGCCGGATGAGGCCATTCCCGTCAAAGTGGCGAGACGAGAGGAATCCAGACGCGATCGGTCACAGTCCGCTTATAGTCCTGCCGAGGAGGGGGCAAGGGAGATGCGACTAAACTACTAGAAGATGGTGAATACAGAGGCTTCCGCCAAGAGCGTCGACAGACTGCTTGGGGTCGAAATGAGGAGATGACCTCAAGAACAGCAAAATTCAACGCCAGAGGGGGTTGAGGGTTCGAAGTCGTGGGAGGCAGAGCGGTGTCATCTAGAAAGGTGTCCGGGAAGAATGAGAAAAATAAAAGTGTGAACGAGTCGGCATTCACATAAAGGCGCAACCTTCCCTTTAAATTGCGTAGATTATCTGGAGCTCTTATATTTATTTAAAGGTAATTCCAGGGGAAAGTAAACATGGAAGCGAAAAAAGGAAGGCGTTTAGAGGTGGAGGAAGCGGGGGGTGTTATAATCAAGGAAGAATTGCGAAGACTGTACGGGCGAACACTAAGGGTAAGTGCTGAAATTCTAGGAAGATTTGAACAATGATTAATGCGAAAGAGTAGAAAGAAGCCTCTTTCTAGTATTCGAAAGCATTAAAATTTTAGGTTAGTTATCTAGCATCTTTCTGTGTAGGAGATATTTGGACGTTCCGTGCTAAAGCGTTTTCTAGTAAAATGTATTCGAACATTTTCAATTACTGAACGACTAGTCTCGTCCATCTAAGCAAAGAACGGACAACAATAAAAATAATTGTATTTAACGCCGGTTTACAGGCATCGTCAGGGAAGTGTTGAACACAACTCCGGCCAGCAGTTGAAAAAAATCTGACAAAAAGTACAAATGGGCAAGATGTTGGTGGTTTTTTATAGTTTGGAGGGTTCAGGAGAAAAATAACTGCTGCCCATCAAATGCTGACAGTCAAGAAATGTATGGGTAACACTGTCTCCGATATTATCAGTCGCCAATTCTTTTTATGAAGTTCGGCTGGTCCGAACATAAGCGCAAAAGAACAGCTGTCGCTGTTGACTAAAGAAATTGTCCCTGGTGAGACCGGCCATAGAGATCAGTGGCCACGAACGCCATCGCTACGGTAAAGTCGATCAATGGGTTCAGTACCCAAAGTTTGTGGGAGTTTTTCTGAATGCAAAAATCAAGTAATACTTCTTTTAAATAAAGGATAATTTTGCAGAGTTTTCACATTCCTAGGTAGCTTATTCCAAATAGCAATTGCATTTACAGAAAAGAACCGCCGATATTTAACGGTACATGCCAGAGGAAGAAATAAAAAGACCTCACGGTGACTGCTGCGTCGGGAATTGATAAGATGTCTTGAAGTAGTGAGTGGGTTAAAGGTACGATTATATAAAAGCTTAAATGGTAAAGATAGTCCCTTTTGTAATCTATGAAACCACAATGGATCA